CCTCTTTTCCATTTGCCTTAAGGGTTCCATGTGAGGGCTTGTCTTATGACGCAGTTTGGTGCTTTTCGTAATGTGTGTCCTATCCACTTCCGATGCTTCTTCCTGATCTCCTCATCAAATGCAATCTGGTTTGTTTTCTCCCACAGTATGTTTTTGCTGATGGTGTCTGACCAACAAATACGAAGTATTTTGAGTAGACAACTGTTCATAAACACTTGTATCTTCTGGATGATGCCTTTCGTAGTTCTCCAAGTTTCCACTCCATACAGTAGAACTGTCGTCACATTTGTATTGAAAATGCCGATTTTGGTTTTGGTTGGAAGTTGTTTGGAGTTCCAGATAATTTTCAACTGTAGAAATGCGGCCCTTGATTGCCAATCCGCGCACTCACATTTGCATCGGATCCACCTTTCTCGTCGATGATGCTGCCAAGATATGTAAAGGTGTTAATGTCCTCCAAGGCATTTCCATCAAGAGTGATTTGTTTGGTGCATGTTGTTTTGTATCGGAGAGTAACATACAAAGATTTGATGTTGTCAACATTCACTTTAATTATGTCTACGTAGTTGAATCCTGTACATCAACTTCATCGACTACGAGAAAGCATTCGATAGCGTGGATAGGAAAACACTGTGGAGGCTTCTTCGACACTACGGTGTGCCTGAGAAAATAGTTAACATCATACGGAATTCTTGTGATGGATTCAACTGCAAAATCGTACACGAGGGACAACCAACAGACTCTTTCGAGGTGAAGACCGGTGTCAGGCAAGGTTGCTTACTCTCACCCTTTCTCTTTCTCCTGGTCATCCATCTACTGGATTATGAAGACTTCGACATCTGAAAGGAAGCACGGTACCAATTGGACAGTTAGGACATAGCTGGACGATCTGGACTTCGCAGATGACCTAGCTCTTCTATCGCACACGCAACAACAAATGCAAGAGAAGCTTCATATCCAGTGTTGTCCATTCCAACCTTGGCATTCAGGTCTCCCATAAGAATCGTCAAATCCTTTGGTGAACATTTATCGACGACTGACTGCAGCCTTTCGTAGAATTGATCTTTATTGTCGTCATTGTAGTCATTGGTAGGTGCATAACATTGGATGACGTTCATTGTAATGTCCTGTTTCTTTGTTTTGAAGGATGCTTTAATGATCCTGGGTCCATGAGATTCCCATCCTATCAGTGCCTTTTGTGCATGTTTGGACAGCATCAGTGCAACTCCTTGTGTATGTGAAGCGTTTTCCTCTTCATGACCAGAGTATAACAGCAGTTCCCCTGAAGCAAGTCTCAGTTGTCCTACCTGTGTCCAGTGAGTTTCACTGATGCCGAGCACCTCGAGGTTGTATCTTTTCATTTCTGCCGCAACTTGAAATAGTCTTCCAGTCTCCCACAATGTACGAACGTTCCATGTACCTAAAAGAATGGTTGCTCTGGTTGTCAGAAGAGGCATCGGCCCCGTGACTTCCGAGGGAACTCGGCTTTCATCACGCGACGTCATAATTCTTCTTCCAACTCCCAGGGCAGAGTTAAAATGGTTTGAATTAGTTTTTCTGGTTAGCGTTTTTTTGGCAAGTTAGATTTCAACGGAATGGGGCCACCAACCCCATGTCCAACCCTCCTCCTTTATCCGGGCTTGGGACCGGCAGTAGCCCCTAAGGTTCTACTGGCGGAGTTTTGTATGTTACATGTTAAACACAAAAGAACAATAGGAAAGATTAATGTTCAGTTTACAAACATATTCTCTTCTGAAATATGATAATTTTCAAAAAATTTATTACTTACTTTACTGAATTAATTACACCTGTTACCCGCACCTAATAGAGCATAGGTCGCCAACCACTATTCTCCAACTTACTCAGTTCTGGGCTGTTTCCTTTTTTCAATTCCGTCCAACGTTTTTTTCATTCTTCTCATATCTCTCTCTCCCACTATTTCTCGGATTAATGTGTTCCTCGATCTTTGTCGTTTCTTTAAGGGTGGTTCTAAGTGTGAGTTCGTCTTGTGACGCATTTATTTACTTTACACAATGTTTGTCTTATCCACTTCCACTTCCTAATTTCTTACTCCACTAGCATCTGGTTTGTTCTCTCCCATAGTAGGTCGTTGTTGATGGCGCCCAGCCAACGGATCAGGGTTATTTTTACTGGGTTAGTCACTAAGTATGCTTGAGGCCATTACGAGTTTACCTTAGTCGATAAACGCGAACGAGACAATAAACCAGCGTCCAGGTAGGCAACCTTCAATCCGAGGCTGAAGTAAAAAGGCTTTGTAAGCGTAGAAAGTATATTCTACAAACACCCAGCAATCACACAATACAATCAAGCATACAACTCTCGTTTATTTATACATCATAGAAACGTCCTAGTGGGACAGTCACAAAAATAGCACACTAAAATACACAACAGCCAATCACAACCATGGATTTTCCTGTTGGGAATTAAAACCTCAAGGTCAACTGATCAGCCCATGATCGCAAACGTGAAAACCGAAATAAGGCATTTATCAAGCCAGTTCTCTGGGGATCTAACATCCCCACCAATTTCGCGTAGACAACTGTTTACAAATACTTATATCCTGCAAATGATGACTTACGTAGTTTTCCAAGTTTCCATTACAAATACATTTATCTAAAAAATCAATATATGTAATCATGGTTGTGGTACAATGTTCAGTACACTGAACTAATCATATTTCTTAAGAAAAGATACATAGTTAATTATTAACTCTGCACAGCATTAATAAATCGATTGAATACTATTGATAACTTATTGATTTTGTACAATGAATGGACAGTTTGAATTTTAATTTTCTTTTCAGTATGATATTAACGATTTTAGCATTGACATTTGAAGTTCTCACCGATGAGTTATTATTCAAAATCAAAAACAGCATTTTTTTTACAAATCATTGTGTTCATTTTTTTTTCAGTGATTACAGATTCTTCTTTTGCAAATTTTTTGAGCAAAATCTTATTGACATTGTATGATAGAGGCATATATGAATAAAATGCTTTGATTGTTGACGGCTTAGAAAATTACAGTCTTATGCTTAATATATATATCATCTCATGTGTGTTTAAGGATGAACACTGTGTATAATGCACCAATAATATGGAACTTTTGTAAACTTTACATTCTATTAAAAGTAGTGGTATTTTGCAATAATTTGACAAACTATACCATGAATGAAACATTAAGTTCTCAATATGAATTTTTATCCTTATGGAAATTAAAATCGAATCATTCTATCAATCTGGAATATGGTTTCCCTGTCAATTTGATTGGTAATTTAATACCAACAGTCGAGTTACAATTTCATCCATGTAATCAACAGGATGCAGCAGATGAGACATGGACAGATTGTCAAACAGTATATGTAACATCTAGTTGCCATTTTACTTATGAACAAATCAATCACTTAGAGAATATAGCATTCAAAAGTAATAATTGTAGTCAATATGCACAGAGTAAATTATCATCGAATAGATGGATCAGTGAAATGTATAAAAAGTCTACACAAGTAGTAAGCATTCAAGCACATCGTATCATGACAAACATGGAGATTAGAGAATTTTTTAAGGAATGTGGAAATTATTCTCAGTATTTTAATAATAAGTCACTTATATCATTATGTGATTGGGATTATTATACTGAATTAATTACAGATAGCAGTTCACTTGATGTTTATGGACACTTGAATACTAGTTCAATTTTATCGGGTAAGGCATAATTTCTTGTTGTATTTTTGTTTGAGAGAGGTTTACAATGACTAAAATTTTTTTCAAATGTTTCGATTGGCTATTATATTTGTTCTACTGAGTGTCTTAAAGTATTTCTAAACATTTGAAATCACCGGTCAATTATTGTTGGATCAGACCATTAGAAAGAAACCTGGAAGAAGCACTGAAAGACGGCCGTTTCGTCCTGGTATGGATGGGACTCATCAGTTGCAGTGCGCGTCGACGACTCCTTCATCTCGCAGGATTCGAACCCGGGGCCTTCGGTAATGTGCGCGAACGCCATACCAGGACGAAACGGCCGTCTTTCAGTGCTTCTTCCAGGTTTCTTTCTAATGGTGGTCTAACAATGATTGGTTGATGATTTCAAATGTATTTGTACTACATTTTGAATCCCTGAATTTTGGTTTACCAGACTATGTAAAATAAAACACCTTGTGAATGATGACATGAGTGAGTTGTAGTTTTGATAAACTACGACTAAATACTACTTACTGTTGTAAGATTCAAAATGTTTATCCGTACGAAGGATTCATCCACTAAACGTCACAAGAGATTTCCGGTATCTAAACCGTATGACGCAGTCACTTGTGAAAAGACCCAGAGGCAACAATGAAATAAATATAACAGAATAATTAATGTTCAAGAAATTACTAACTGTAAAGTTCATTGTTGTTGATGACTACCAACAACAGTTACATATACTTAAAATAGTTCCACTTTGTATGATAAGCGTGTAAAGTAGACAAAGGTAGGGTAAAATTGTCCACCCTAAATGCCTGTACTAATTTACAAGTACCTGAAAGATTTGTTTTGACAGGGTAACATTAGAAGTATTGACATGTTTAGTTTTTGTATAATCTGTACATTTTAAATTCTAAACATCAAAACACTGTTTCTGTTTCATTAGTGTGCCATCTGACAAAATGCAGAGTATTGTGACCACCCTAAGCAACAATGCAAGCATGCTCGGGATGCGGTTCTCACCCTCAACATGCAAGATGTTCCTTCATGATTGGGTTTCATCGGCACCTGAACTAGTGATAGGGAGTGAGGTAGTCGAGCGTGTTGACCGCTTCACTTATCTGGAGAGTCTCATCAGTGCCGATGGCATGGTGACTGATGAAAACTCAGCGCGGAAACAGAAGGCTCGATTAGCTTTTGCCAACCTGCGTCACTTATGGCGTAGGCGAGATATCCGTTTGCTGACTAAAGGACGAGTGTACTGTGCAGCAGTTTGCTCCGTTCTCCTATATGGATGCGAAACATGGCCAGTGAGAGTAGAAGATATTCGTAGGTTACTGGTTTTCGAAGCATTGTTCGTATATCGTGGGACACCCGAATGAGCAACACTGTTATTAAGAATCGGGTGCTAGGTAAGAGTGGCAAATTAATAGATGAAGTGGTGAAACTTCATCAGTTGAGGTGGTTGGGACATGTGTTGCGTATGCCTAACCAGCGACTGCCTCGACGAACTTTGTTTTGTAGTGTAGGAATAGGTTGGAAGAAAGTTAGGGGCAGCCAAACCAAAACATGGCAGAAATCCATGAAGTCATTGACAAGTGGACTTATCCATGTCGGTAACTGTCGACTACCTGGTTGGGGTCCGCGAGATGATAATAATCGATGGTTAGAGACCCTGAATGACATGGCTGAAAACCGTTCGCAGTGGCGCCGGTGCATTTATTCTTTGTGTTCGCTCAAATCCTAATCTTCTGTGTTCTTCAACACCTCTACTTTTGACTTTCTAAACTTTTCTCATTGAATCATACTTCTTGAATAATATCTTCTAATCCGAACCTCTCCGATTACTTCTAATACCTTTACTACCTCTTCTACTATTGGATTCGAGTTGACAATTATATCTCTGTGCTGATGTGGTATGGCAACATGAACTGATGTACTTAGGTACGAAGTTCTACGTTGCGCATCTGACTGACTGACTGATCTGTTGCACATGAGTTTTCAATAATGAACCAGTTTAAAATGAATGATCGTCACTATGTCTCCACTGGCATAGAAGACATTCAAGGATGGCTTCTCAGTTAGAACACAAACAAAATTGGACGTACTATCTAGAAAAACCAATCAAAAATACCTAACGATCAAATGTTTTGATGTCAAAAACTATCATTCTGAAGAATGTGATTTTTCATTTTGATTGGTCAATGCAAGTCTATTGGGCCCGAGCAAACAACATGAATTCCAAACAATCACAATATCGTGAATTGTAAAAGTTTAACTAATTATCTGTTTTAGGCTAGAACTTCGATAAGACGACAATTTAGAAATCGAATTCAAAGTGTAAAACAATTAAAACTTTACCATATTATTACAACAGGAAAAAAAAAGACATCATCTCCTGAATAACTAACTAATCTTTGGTGGACTTACTTACTTACTTACTTACGTTCGTACACTGTGGAAGATCGGGAGAGAGTCAGTCATTCAAGTTGCTTTGGAAACGAACAGAGACCACTCTGGTGGTGTTTGGAATAAATTAACCACGTTGAATGCATACTGAACAATGAAGACTAGCTTCAGGAGAAAATGCCTCACACATACAAGGGGTCCCACTGATGCTTTCCAATGAAGCACGAAAAACACTTGTAAAATGGGAATCTCATGGACCAAGCACTATAAAGCATCCTTCAAGGTTAAGAAGGAGGGCATTACAATGAACGTCATCCAGTCAGTGCTATGCGCCGACCAACCACTTCAATGAAGACCGTATAGATCAATTCTACGAAAGGCTGAAGTCACTCGTCGACAGATGCTCATCCTAATGGGAGATTGAAATGCCAAGGTTGAAATGGATGACACTAGATATGAATACATCATGGTATGACGAAGACTGGGAGAAAGGGACAAAAATGGTGCGAGACTTGTATACCTATGTGCCTTCAACAAACTGGGCGTCGGCAGCACAATATTCCTACACAAACGCATACACAAAGCTACATGAATTTCCCCGGATCACATCACAGAGAACAAAATCCACCATATCTGTATTAATAAAAATTTCAGAAGGATCATGTAGGACATGAGAACCTAGAGGGAACTGATATGGCCTCAGATCATCACAATAAATTGAAATCCACGAAGCACTGAACACTGGAGCAACTAATATCACTAAAGTTTAATACACCCTTTCTTCGAGACAATGGCAAAATCAATAAATTCAATATAGCCGTCAGCAATATGTTCCAGGCCTTTCAGTATATGTTCAATAGAGAGGAACCTTCCATAGCGAAAAGCTGGAAAGAGATCAAGGAGACAATCACTTCAGAGTTACATGAAGGTTTAGTCCACAAGAAGCACCATCACAAGAAAATAAATAACTTTTGATACACTGGATGCAATTTCAGCAAGGAGGATCATGGAGGCTTCAATCAATATCAGCTGAATAAGAGCAGAGAAAGCCAAGGCACAAGCTGAATACCTGGAAAAAAAACAAGCAAGTGAAGAGCAGATTCAGAGCTGCTAAACAACCTACTGTCGGAGAGAACAAGACGAATTCCAGTGAAGGAATAAATCAGGAACAAAGGTCTGCAAAGGGATAGGACATACATTGAAGAAAGCATCCTACTGCATTACAAAGCAAATCACAACTTGGAGTTCTCGAGGCCAAATGAAGAGAG